TAGTTACTTTTTAGAGTTTTTTTAATATACATAAAAAAAACAGCACTTTTTACATTTTCTGCATCCGAAAAGAAAATAATTTTTTCTAGATATTTAAAAGTTTTAGATTTAATAAGTAATGAAACTTCATAATGAAACTTTTTGCCCCCTTTGATTATTTCACACTACTACTTATGTAGTACGAAATATGTATGTATTCTAAGTATGCATGAAAAACTTTAAAATAAATAGCAAAAATATACTTCCTGAATTTTTTTAAAATTAAAGAATATAGTTTATTTTTATGACGAAAATAATATTCTTAATATAAGTTTTAAATAGATACAAAAAATTATTGCAAATGAATGAAAAATTTTATCATCAGTTCTTAATAATTAATGGTTTAAAAAACGGTTCAAGAAATAATTTGCTTAAAAATAAAAATTTAATAAAGAATAAAATACATTTAATTATTTTCTGTGAACTGAAGAATAACTTTAAATTTAGTAATTTATAAAATCAAACTTCTAAATAACTTTAAAATAATATGCATTACTTCCATATTTACACAATTAACAAAATTAATATCTCTACGCAATCTTTTTGTTATCTAACAACATCATGAAATTACGAGACAGGAAAAAAAGCAATCATAACAAGCGTACTGAATAACAATTTTCAAAACACTATTATCACATTACTATGCTCAATATACTTGACCTGTTTTACAAAAATAATCAAGTAATTTGCATGCAAGTTATAAAATTTCCCTTAATGCACAGGTCAACCATTAGGTGTACCATAAAACATGCTTGTTCATTCTAAACCCTTGGTATTAAAAAACTGTGCTATAGGATCAAATCGCAAAAATTAACTACTTACTTAACTTTTTATTCGATACAGCATTCCGAACGGAATATACTAGCCACAAAATCCAGTGTAAAAGCAACATAACTAGAGACCTCTATACTCATGAACAAAACAAAACTCAATATAAACGGACCTTAAGCACTTTTAATTACTTTTTTTAAAAATAGTGCAGTTCTATATATGCCATCGGTTTTGTACAAAAGCTTATTTCTTTTTAATATATTACCATGTTTCTAAATTTTAATAAACAATTCATTATTCCATTATTTAATAATTGCTATTTTTTTTCTAACAAGTATCAAAACCCAATTTCTTTTAAGTAAAATTATTAAATCATTTATACTATACCAAAGAAAACTAAACTAGTGTAAGATAAAGAAATATTTAGTATAATTTTTTAAATACACAATTGCCAGATTATACAAGGCTACATGTATATGAAGGAAAGAGTGTCCAGTTATCAAACATAAAATAATAGGATTTTGGAGTTTGAGAAAAAGAACTAAACACATATCTTCGTAAAAATTTTTTTAATAAATGCTTACAAGTAGTAAGTCTTAATCATGATTTAAAAAAATCTTATTAAAAATAAAACAAATATAAGTATGATTAAAAATTTTACTCTTAAAACTTTTGGAGGAACAAGACCAAGTTACTGAATGTTATATGTGAATAAAGGCACAAAAATCTACACATTGTAGTTTCGGTTCCATAAACAAAAATCTCCCACAGTCAAAACACAAAATGTTTTGACACTGAGGAAGGTTCTTGTTTGTAAAACTGAAACGAGACTGTGGCAATTCATGCCCTTTTATATGAGCTTTATTCACTTTGTTTCTGTTCACTCAAACTTAAGCAAAATATACCATATCTTCCTTTGATACACAGTTAATGTATGTTAGAGATCACTCATACGGTCACACCATTCAATATATTCAAGCATGCGTCCAATATATTCATTTCACACAATACATTATTTTCCGACTCGAAAATTGCTAAGAATGTTATGGAAATGAAAATAAAATTATTTTCAATTTTATAACGATGTACCTTTTGTTTCATCTCATAGTAGATTCGCTCATTGTAGTTTTGATTTCAGTAAACAGCTGAGTCTATAAACAACATATCTACTTCGCACAATTAAATTTAAATAAAAAATCTTATTAGAGTGAACGAAACTATACCTTACATTTAATATTCGAAAGAATAAAGAAACACAAAATGAAAATGCTTCTTTTCAATAATTCTTAATGCTAATAAAAGTGAAAGAAAATCTTTGTCATTAATCAGTTTAGTCAGAGAAGTTAGTTTTATTCATAGTAAATATCACCTTACCCACACAACTATACCTTTCAATCCCACCTCCCCTGAGTAATATAAAATATTTAGTCATTTAAGGGAAGCTGAAAAAGAACTTGGCATTGACTACTAAGAATAGACGATTTATTAGAAAACAAATGCAAAACATTTATTTTTTGATGATTAATCAAGAAGTTTTATTTCAGACCGGCAGACACAATTCTGATTTTATAGTTTATAGCATATTTTGAGAGTCTAAGAGTTGCAAGCATGTCAAGAAAGTTTAAAGAAAACAATTTTTAAACAAATATACTTTATAAACCTTCCTTAGAATGTCTGAATTTCTCAATAGCTGAATGTGAAAAGTGTATAGAAACTTCGTTCTTCAGCTATGTAATGTTAAATAAAATAATTTTAACACCATTTGTGTGTTAAGTTTACTTAAATTTCCATGCAAACACAGAAAAAAAACACTCAAAAATATGTAAAGAAGCATTAAATTTATAAAAAATTTAAATATAACATACGTAAAATAAATAGATATTACTCATAATAGATTTTATTACAGAAACAGTACACAATAAAAAGAGCAGATAATTAAGTATAATAAATGTTGCCTTATTCTCAAATCATACAAATTGCACAGTTCAATAAAATAGCAGATGGGTAGGTGCCTTTGAAGAAACGATAAGCCAAGTCACAATTGGGATTCATTCATAACCAAACAATCATTCATTCACTTGCATACTAGTACTACCTCCATGATGAAAAAAATAAATAATAATAATAATCAAGAGGGAAAAAAAAGGATTTCTTTTGGTTAAAAACATGACATAAAATCTCAAGAACATAAAAAAATATTTTTATGATTAAAAAATTTTTAGAACTTATGTTTAAAAAAAAGATTTAGATTTCTTGATTTTTACTCAGATTAGATTGTAAAAAAATCTCAATAAAAAAAAACAGATATAATTAGTATTTACAGAAAAAATATACAACTTGCAACCCCCTCTTCAAACCAAAAAACATTTTTAAAAAATTCAAAGAATTGGCAGAAGAAAGTAGTTTCTTGAAAGTCAAATTAAGTTAAATTTTTTAAAGGTCGTACATGCGTGGTTTAGAGTATTTAACTATTTTTAAGTTTTGAATTTATTCTATAATAAGAGGAAAATTTTTTTATTCTACACATCACATATAAAATAAAAACAAAGTACTTCACTTAATTAATTTAAAAAGAAATATCTTAGTTAAACTTTCCAGATTCTTTGATCCTTTACTTTAACTTTAATATAAATATTTAAAAAAAAAATATTAATAGAAGTTTTCAGATTTAAGTACATAGGTACTTTTCTTAAAAAGAAAATCTTAATAATTCTAATAAAAACATATTACAACATGGAAGTAATACCACTTAAACAGAGAAAAGTGTCAACTATGTAATATATGTATTATTTGAAGTTAATTTGTCTTCTAAGTGGAAAAAAAAATTTAAATCTTAAATATAAAATAAATTATAACTTTGAATATAAAAGAAAATTTTTTTTATAAATTAAAATATTTAAATATTAAATAATAGTAAAATAAATTGTTAAACAAATTTAAGCTTTTAAAAAAAAACTTTTAATGATAAAAAAATTTTTTACAGCATATTGAACAACTTTAACAATGTTTATAAAGAATTCATAAATTTTTTGTAATAAATAAAAGATTTGACTTCTTTTAAAAGTAAAATCCCTGAATTAAGCTATTTAAAATTGATCAAAAGCATGGAACTTGTATTTAAAATGGAGAAACAATAATCCCATGTTAAAATCCAATCTTAAAATAATAATATTACATTGAAGAGAAGACACACAGTGTAAAATAAAAAATATCTACAACTCAATTGAAAAAAATTATTTATGATTTCTTAGATAACTGAAGAAAATTTAAAAATAAAAAAAAAATGCTATCCTGATGATAATTTTAAATAAAATTGATTTATAAAAAAATGCATCAACAAATTTACTGATGATGATAAGTGCAACTAATTGACATCACTTACATAAAACTACATTTATTCTTTAAATGAATTGTAAATAGTGAATTCTAATGAAGAATCTACAATTACAAAAATTAAAAATAGGAATAATTTCCTACTTGTCTTTAGGTGACACTGTAATGCAGACCTGCATTCTACTTATTAGCCAGTTAGTATTTTCTATTATATTATTAGTTAGTATTACTTATTAGTATTTATGTAACAATATATCCTCACTAAATTTCTGCTTTTATTTTGCATAAAATCTGCATAAATTCTGGAACTCAAAACAAAAAATGAATCGATTATGCAGCTTAAGGTCATGAAACCAACAAATTTAAAAAAGATTTTTTTTCTTCTTTAATATTGTTGTTAAATATTAACTTATTCTACATTATATCTTAATAAAGTCAACCTTTACTTCAAAATGTTATTAAATATTCACCAATTTGTAAAAAAAAAAAAAAAGGTTTTTAAAAATCTTAATTTTTTTTAAATTTAAAAATTAACTAATAATTGAAAGTAAAATGTGTGTAAAAAGAAAATATAGTGTATTCTAGCACACAAATCACACATCACAGTCACACAGGTATTAAAAGAGACATGACTCAAAATAATGAGACATCTGTATCTAAACCCTCTACACAAGAAAAGTTTTATTTTCATCACACTTTTGGGAAGAAATCGGCAGCACCACATTAAATAAACTATTAATATAACCTTAAAAATCACTCATAATTAAGAGATTTGAGAATGAATAAATAAATATTTACAAATTGCTAAAAGACTTATAATATCAAAATAAATAATTAGAATATAATAAGTTATAAACCTCGTGTTCGATGTATAGCTTCCAATATCTTCCTGCACTAGGAAACTGTGCAACCAGCTTTTCATAATAAGGACGTGCATCCTCTATCTTTTGATGCTATTTAAAAATATATAAATAAGTAAGTAAATGAATTTTAAAAAAAAGTCATATTGAAAAAAAAGTCATACTAAAACAGGGTATGAAATTTAACAAGATAATAGACGAACTTGTCAGTAGTTTGCACTCAGGAAAAACCTTTAACAGTTTTATGAAAATGTTAGCAGGTGCATTATGAAGTATTTTACAATGTCTAAATGCATAAAAGAAAGTAGAAACTTAAAAATCGATATATATTTATTGCAACACTTTTAAATATTTGTTTGCCATTATTGACCTGGCAAGGAGAGGAAATATCCTGTCCTAAAATAAAACATGTATAATTTTAAAAACTTACTGTAAGATAAAGAATTTTATTATAAAATAAATTGAAACATATAATAAGAACCATTTCTTGTACTTTTTAAATTGTTTTTTCTTATAACTGTCATATTGCCAGCATCCATGGAGAAGCTGCAACATCAGCATGTCAAATATAAGAAAAAAAAGAGAACTTACAAATATCTTTAACATTTAAAAACATTTTTAAAGCTTATAAAAATTTGATGTAAATTGCATTATGTGTCTTTAATTATATATTTTATGTTCTTTACAAATATAAGTTTTAAGTTTATTTAAATCTTAAAAAAAGTATACACATAACGAACATGAGAGCTACATATGTTTTCACATAAAACATTGCCTTGCAGTCACATGATTAAAAAAGCTAATACAGCTGATTGAAGAAAACTTATTTTTTAAATGAAATATCACAAAAACAGTCTAAAAAAATTATATAATGAATCATCTAGCTTTGAACAGTCAGTACATGCATTACATAAAGATGTTCATTATTTAGATACAGAAAATGTTCCGAATTATGACACTTTTATAGTTAAAATTATAAAACTTAATAATGATAGTGATTACTATATATTTATTAAGTTTTAAAAGTACTTGCATTTAGCTAACTTGAAACTATATGGACATAATGTAAGCAGTTTCATTAAGTTTAAGACATTACAGATAATTTGATGCACAGGAAATAGAAAATTCTATTTTAAAAATGTTCATGCCACTTTTCTCCACATTCAGTTTTTTTCTTTTTGTTTTTTAAATATTATTGTTAATCTAATTTGACATCAAAAATTTACATTCATTTTCCTTTTGATATTTCCCGACATAAAAACTTATCAATAAAAACAGACTTCACAAGTCACATCCTTAAGAATATACCCACTAATAAATAAGTTTGTAAGATAAATTTAATTGAAATAAATTATTGCTATTCAACATATCTATATTTTGAAGTAAATTACTGCTATATCATTTATATATCAGTTGAATAAATAAGTGATTTTTTAGATAAAACAATGTAAATTATAAATAGATTTAAATCATGCTAAACCAGATTCTCTCAGTCTGTTTTACAATAGAAAAAAATATTCTCCATCTAAATGGAAAAAATATTTATAGTTGGAAATAAGTATATCTGAAAAAAAAATACTGTTACATAAAAACAAGAATAGCATTGAAAAAATAGAAGCATAAATAATAATTTTTAAAAAAATGATTTCAACTCTAAAATATAACATTTATTTCTAAAAATTTAAAAAGTAAACAAATAAACTATCTCAAAATATTATAAATAACCTTAAAACATCAGAAATTTATTCTTTATTGATGCATGCAATTTTTCTTCTTTAAAAATATTTTTTTATACTCAAACTACATCTCTTGAAATGAATTATTAAATTATGATTTCAAATTTAATCTGTTTCTAAGAAATTCTCCAACACCTTTCTCAAAACCCAATTTTTATATAGTCATCACAGTTCCTTTTTTTCCAAATTTGAAACAATATTAATCTCTAAGAAAAAATTTAAAAGAAAACTTATTTGCTCCATAAAAAAAATCATGTATATTTAAAAAAAAAAAAAAAACACAAAAAATTCTATATCAAACAAAAATAATAGAGATAAATCATAAAACTTACAGATGCATCCCGCAAAATAAGATTCCAAGCTTCAACATCATATGGATTTTGTTCTAAACGTTTTTCGGCTTTTTTATTTTTATCACTAAAAAAAGCACCAGGATCCTAGAAAAGAAAAAAAATACATAAAAAATAAAATACTACACAAATACAATTTTAATAAATAGAATACATTTAAGTGAAACAATAATTTCATGACTGCTAATTGACATTGCATTATAAGAATAATACAGTGAAACTAAAAAACTACTTATTATGTTCATAAAACTTCATAAATAAACCTTTACCTCTAATCATAAAAATAACCAAATTTTAAATACCAGATATTATCACTAAATACATTCCATCCTAAAAATAATTCTTAAATTTTGACTATGATCCTGAACAATTTGAACTATATTTTCCTACTATGTTAAATTAAATTCTAGAAACTATACATTAAGACACTGGTGCTAAAAACAAACTCAAACAACTAATAAGGTTTCTTGTGATAGTCCATGCCTTCAGATCACTTCAGTGGGTGACATAAAACAATCCATTAGTCAAATGGAGTGATCCCCAATACACATACTTATAAGCGATGAAAAAGTGATCAAAAAACTAAATAAATTTAATGACTGATAATGAGTTATTGACATGAGTTTGAATCAACATAATGAATTGGCTGCCCCTAGAGATTTCCCTTGAACTCATAAAAAAAATTTCTTCAAATAAACCATTTTAGTTGATCCTTAACCAGATCTTATAAGTTTTTTTGATTGGATGTTATGAAACTTTTTTGAAATGCCTCTTAACCCTCTCACTCAGGACACCAAGAATTTGTACTGTAAGATCACTGTAATTAAATAAATAGCATTGTAAAAATTTATTCCTAGGATGCTGCACTCAAGATGCCAGTACTTTTAACCGTAATTTGATCCATAATTTTCTACGGGTATCAGATGCACATATGACAAAGCTTTCCTGGTATACAGCTAATAAATATGATTAAATAATCTCATAATGAGGTATGAAGAATTGGAAATCTTACTTGCTGATAGATATTTAACTTTTCGATAAATTTTTCAGATTTAATATTGTCAGTGCTTTGAAAGTTTAAGTTCTTTAGCGTATAGTATCATTTAGATTAAAATATACTGTTTTTTTATTCTAGACATCAAAAAAATCTCATCATATGACCAAAAAACAACTTCTATAAACGTGGGGAATAATTATGCAATTACTGCATAATAATTCACTCCATATAAAATTAATGAATAACGTTAACATTTCTTTAAGTATAAAACAGAAAAAAAAAGAGGATAACTAAGCTGCTTTTAATATTTAAGGTGCTACAAACATGGTTGAAGACGTTATATGATTGCAAACAATAAAATTTTTTTGCATCCGTATTAGGCTCGAAAAGATTTCGAGACACAAAATACAAATTGGATAAAAATTAAGTCAGCATTGCTAAAACTTATTTTTATTCTTATAGATATTCTAATGTAAGACAGCTGTTTCGAAGGTAAAATAAACAAACCTAACACGTAATCGAAATTTAACACAAATATAAATAAATTATGCTTCGTGGGTAAGAGTTTATTTTATACAAATCACTGTAAATACTTAATCTACTCACAATAATACAGTCACAACAACATTTTTACGATAAATGTATAATTCCATACGTGATCAATGGACTTAATAAAACAATATAAAATTTCTATTACTGATGTAAAAACAAAAATACATTCAATACCTCAAAAATTGACATATCTGGCATTAATTAATCTGCAAAATAACAACTTTTAAAGGTAAAAATAATGTTATAATAAAAAAAAAGGCAACGAATTAATATTCTTCCAAAAGAATACAGCAGATAACCCAAACAACATTCAATGATACATTTAGTTGTTTCAAGGTTTTAGTGGTCAGATGTCTTTCGTGCAGAGTTAAGAGCTATTCTCACTACATACGACTTTCATATTTGTTGCCAATCAGGTTCTCATTTTTTCGCGTGCAGGTCGTCGAGCTACCAAAGCGGGGGTGCCATCCCCACAGCAGAGGATCAAAATTGTGATGGCATGTCTTCGGATCATCCTCAGGGATGTTTCCCAGACCGTCGCCAATAGCCCATTGTGCAGCTCTAGTGCGACGTAAATGAACAACAACAAGGTTCTCATTTTCTGAGGATGACAATCAGAATTTCGCACATTTTTATGCAGTGTGAACAATTCCGCTTTTTTCAAGTAAGCAGGTATTAAGCACACAAAGACAAGCAGTAGGAAGCGTTAAACTAGGTGCCGATTATCAAAATATAAACATAAAATAAAATTTTAGAAGCTAATTCACTTAACCTAATGTAAAAGGCAAGATTTTATAATTTTATTAGCTACTTTTGCATTATTTGAATCTAAACCTATTCAACAATAGAACTGAAAATAATCTGGCAATATTTATGAAGTTTTAACACAGTTCTGAATTGAATAAGATTTTGTGATTAAAAAAAACTTATAAGCTCATTAAAAATAAATCTGAAAAATGTATTCAAAGTTACCTGTTCGTAAAATTGCGCCTATTCATGCTATTTCTGTTTCCTCATGCCGATTCCTGCATCAAATGAGTCTTGAAAATCTTGAAAGGCATAATCCTCAAGAATACCAGCCAATAGTTTCTATGGAGAGGGAAGATCAAAAGAAATATCAAAGGCAATTTTATTATGATACAATTAAAGCTCTACCTACCGTAGAACAAAAATTATACGAGATATCACAGTTTCATAGGCCAAAACAGTTGCGATATTTAATACCTGCTCTTGCTAAGTCATACAATGGCATATTTTTCCAAAGGTACATTACTCGCACTCATTTAATAAATCATTTACCTGAAAATTTCTCTTTGATGGATGTTGATAAAGAATATACTGAAGTATCTGATGTTTTCAAACAGACTGTTTCATCTTTTTATAAGAATGATTGGAAAAGCTCAGACTTAAACTATCAAGATTATCTTTGTAATAAACGAGATTGTTCAAAACTCCTTAATCTTCTAATATTGCAGTGTTTCAAGAAACTGGCTCTGAAGAATGACTACATCTTAGAATCAACTGTAAGTTCTGACTTTTGCTATTTCATTTGTAGTTCTTCAGTCTATTCAATTTATAAGTATAATAAGATAAACATCTCCCACAACACCCCGTTGTAGGTCGTGATGATCCTGGATCTACCTCTTTTCCAGTTCGTTAGGGGTTTATGTAATAGGATTTTCTTTAAATTTGAGTCATCATTCCTTCTGAAAATGCGAGCTGCCCAATTCATTCAATTTATTTTTATGAATTTCACAATATCTGGCTCTCCTGTAGATTTTATACAGTTCAGTATTATATCGTCTTCTCCAGGAATTATTTATTTTTATCCCACCAAGGATGTCCCTCAAAACTTTTCTCAAAAAAAAAAAACTGAACAAGCTAGTACCTATTAATCTGAAGCTGGATGGGCTTTGAACCACCGATGGGAATTGAACCTAAATTCTTCCTAATACTGGACCAGTCCCTTAACCGCTAAGCCACCATGACTTAATGATTTACATCTGTGTATCAAAAAATTTAGCTGAATGCAATAAGTCTAACATAAACTTTCGTAATTTTACTTTTTTACATCATAAATGCCAATCTTTTCAGTTTGTATTTATAGCAAGGTTGGTACGTACTAATGGAAACTTTATAAATTTAGTTTACTACAAAACTTTTGATTCTTGCTACTATTAGCGTATTTAAAAATTAATGTTATTTGAACATTCTCTATTAATATGGTCCTTTTTTCTTATAGATTCAACAAAATCCAAGAATAAATTCTTACTGGTTTCACAATGGTTTTCACTCAGAAAAAAATAAGATTTATCAAGAAAATCTTACATTTCAGTTCAGAGATACTCCAGCGTTTACTATACGAATAAAGAAACCTTTAAATGCAGTATGTATTTTTCATTAATTATGATTAATTAATTTTTTTGTCTCAGTGTTAGCTTCTAAATTTTAAAAGGATTCCCATATTACTACACTAAAAAAGGTTTTAGTGACAATAGGCAATGGTCTATAAGGATTTTTAAAATTTATAAAAATTTTTTGAGAACCGTGATGGAGCATTCGCCTTTCAATGAGGTTAATTGGGTTTGAATCCCTGCGGTGGCTGATCGATATGAATTTTGCATCCCACTTGCAACACCCGCACCCTATGGCAGAATTTTTTCAAGCTATCTGCGACAAAACTCTCTAGCACTAATATCTTTCTGCAAGCTACTTTTAATCATAACAAACATATATGTTACTAATTTAAAATAACAAAAACTATTATAATTTTTTTTAAATTGAACTCGTAATAATTTTTATTCTAATATTATGGGCGATATCCTCGCATTTTTTTTGGAGGGGAGGAACACACTATTTATTTCCCTCTTCGCATTTTGAAATTAATCATCACAATGAAAAAATAATTAAAAATCTTGCAATGTGTTGCCAGAGAAAAGATCGGCAGCGAAATCACTCGAATTGGACTCTATAAAGAATATCGGATTTAAAATCTATGGAGAAATTAATAGCAATAACTGCTAAAAATTGGATAGAATCATTGCCTTAAAAAGTAAATACTCAAATGCACGATTCGAATTTTCCATATAGTTTGAAATATATCGGGATATTTTAAAAACATGTAAAAATTAATATCAATAACTGCCGAAAATTCAATGGAAACATTACTTCGATTTACGATACTATCGGCGTAAAATGAGTGAGTCAAATGCGTGATTATGTATGATTCAAATATTGCATGTAAATTTCTGTATAAAGGAAAACAAAAACTTTTTAATTTTCAAAAGAAAAATCTTTCTGCAAGAACTCTGTAACGTTCTGCGACAATGTAGCCGTGTCACTGCGATTCTGCCACGGGGCACCCACAGTGCTGACATGAAATATCCTCAGTACTAGATGGATCATGGAGTCGGAGCCGTGTTGCCGTAAAGCTAACCGTGAGTGGTTTTCATGTTTTTCCTCTATATGTACAAATACAGGTTATTTCCACCTAAAAGTCCTTCACAAAGGCAAATTTCTTCCAATATTGATCCAGGAGTTCCCTTATCTTCTAGATTGAATTCAAAATTATAGGACTACTGAGTCGAATATTAGTAGTCGTAAACCGAAAAATTGGGTCGGTTGTTCAACAATGGTTATAAAATTAAAAACAATTATTATTTTTTTAAAATTTTGCGAGTATTAGAACTCTTTTGTACTTTGACAATGGTAGTAGACAGGAATTCAAAATTACAAGACTACTGAGTTGAACATTAGCAGTCGTGAACTGAAAAATTGGGTCCGTTGTTCAATAACGACTATAAAATTTAAATATATATTTCTTTTTTTTTCGAAAAAAATTTTGTGAGTATTAGAATTCTTTTGTACTTTGACAATGGTAGTTGACAAGAATTCAAAATTGCAGGACTACTGAGTTGAACATTAGTAGTCATAAACTGAAAAATTGGGTCGGTTGTTCAACAACTGTTATAAAATTAAAATATATATATGTATATATATTTTATTTATTTTTTTTAAATTTGCGAGTATTAGAACTCTTTTGTACTTTAGCGATCGTAGTAGACACGAACAAGTACCAATGCTAAGATATCTCCTTTTTCATTAGCAGCTGAAATTCCAGATTGAAATTATTCAAATATATACTGTATATTTCAGTGTATGAGTCAACTTGTTGTATAAGTCGACATCCTTTTTTTGATTATGAGGTGGCAAATTTCTGGTATGTTGGGTGTATGAGTCGACCACTGAACAAAATTAATTATGAGAATTTCTATTTTATTGTAGAAATTTTTAAAAGTGTGAAATTTTGAAGTCTTTGAATGGTGATGAAAACAAATCTTTCTAGTACTCAGCAAATGGGAATAAAGTTGAATCTGTTGTTGAATGGGATCTGTTTGACGATACTGCTCATTTTTTAGAATCCTAGATGGATGATCAGGGGTCTGTCTAGGTACCTATTTTGTAAAAATTTAGACATAATTTGTGAAAAATTATATTTTAAAATCAACACAAAAATATGGATTTATCATTTCTTAAGGGATACAAAAATTAAATTTTAAGAAAAAGTATTTTGTGAAACTACCGTTTTTCCTAAAGTTGAATTTTTGAAACTACCGTTTTACATAAAATTGAATTTGTGAAGGTACCGCTAAACGGTAGTAAATTCGGCCTGGACAGACCCCTGATGATGTTCTATAATCTTTAAATTTGTATCTTTATGATATGTTTTACAAGTTTCCGTTGTGTTATATTTTTTGAAATACTCTTGAATTTAGTTTTTCTTATTTTTATTTTTTTCCTGAAAACAATTTAAAAAATTTTTTCGAAAAGAAGAAGAAAAAAAAGATCTAAAGATGTTAAACAAAATATGATGAGAGAAAATGCAAATTTAATTATATATAACATATTAAAAAAGTTTTTGGAAAGGGTAAATTGATATTGAGTTTTTCATGTTTGTTTCATTGTTTATAATGCATTAATATTTCACGACCAACAAAAGTCAACTATCTTACCAGTGTATTATTAGACCCCCTAATTTTCTAAAAAAAATTTAAGTTTCAAGAGGCAACTGATGCATGCAGTTATACAGTATACGAACAAGAATTTTTATGTTATTTATTTATTTATTTAAGATTTTGAAACTGGAAGACCCTCTGTGTGCCACTGCTGAAGTACCAGATTATAATTTTCATCCTAAGGCATTGGGATTTGCTGCTGATAGAAAATGGATAACTTCTGTTCCTGGTTAGTATAATACTATATTTTTGATTTTAATGTGTCATTTTAATTGGTGAGAAAAAATTTAAGTTCTTTTACTTTTAATATTTAAAACGTTTGCTTTATGTAAAAAAAAAAAAAAAAATTGCACAAAAATTATGCAATATAGAGCTTTATAAGTAAATTTAGCTGTAGAAGTCATACACTTCCTGGGTAATTTGAAAAAGGCAGTGGAGATATCTGATTAAAAAGTTTATTGAAAAACAATGAGAAGTTGCAAAAAGAAAAAGCGGAGCTAAAAAGTAATGGCAAATATTTATTGGTTGTAGGTCATTTCTCATATCAGAAGCATTTCATTTTTTTTTGGTACATCTTTTTTTAATTATAAATGATTTTGTGATAATTACAATTGTGATATGTGTCCTTACCTATAAAGGCTTGTATTAATATTTGCAATGAATCATTTCTCATTTTATCTACTAATTTAATTTTAAAAATTCAACTCAGAATTTCAATTTTTAGGCATATATATGTATATATATACAATGGAACCCCAATTTTACCTTTTCGTCAGACTAGCGTTAAAAAACACCAGAAGCGGTATAACATAAAATCGGGGTAAAAAAGTTTTAGTACATTTTCAAAAATTGACACTTACAAGATACTCTACTCGGAAAAGAAAAATTTTTTTAATCTTTACATGTTTTCTTGTTTTTAGATACAATTTCAGCACTATCCCACTCAATACTTATTATTTTCTTCATGGTTTGCACTCAAAAACGTTTGAGAGTTTTCATGCTTTCAAACTCTAGATCAATTGTTTATTTATCTTCCAATATTTTATCTCATCTTAATCAGTTTCATTATTATCATCAAGAGCAGGCATTGAATCAGATATTGCATTAATTAAAAAAGTAATGGGAGTTGTGTTGCAGTTGATCTTCAAAAGATCTTCAGACTTGCAATTTTATTCCAAAGGGACATTGTCCTTGTTGGATACCGCTAAGCTTTATTAAACCTGTTTGTAATGCATTTGAGTAGACACTATCCAGAACTGTGGAAATCAAATTCATATCTTCCAGAACAATTATTTTTGCTTTAAAATCATCTTTTGGAAATATACACATAAAATAGTATAAGATGGTTACTTAAAAATTGTTGAGGATCATATTCAGTTATTACATGATATTACACATTTTGATACATTTTTACGTTAAGTGCCCTTTTCTGTGAGAAAGCACTGTGCCTTTTTTATTCCTAGGGAGAACTCTGACTAACACCACACCTCCACTGCAGCATGAATGTACAGCAATTAAAATTATATTGTTATTCATTAGAAATCTGTTTTAAAATCAACTATTTGTCTGCTGTTTGTAAGACATCGATATTAATTTTAATAGTATTGTTCCAATGGTAGTAAAGTTATTTTATTTATTTATTATATTTTTAATTGTTTGTAGTTTGTTTCACCATGTTAAAAATATTATAATTCCATGAAAAAGAAATTCATACACTAACTGCGTAAACACCTAAGAGTTCTTCATAGCTTCCTGTGGTCAAGTAATAAATTTTTGAAATATGACCGTTTGAAACGATAATGAGCAGTAAGTAGCCTACATGCAATATATGTGAGTTTTCATGAAATATATGTGCTAATTACTTTTTTTTAATTGAAACTATTTTCTTAATTTAGTTATTCGGTAACGAGTGTTGCAATTTAATTGGATTAAAATTTTGTATAATTTGGTTGGAGTTTATATTTGTAAAGTGGGATGTCATAAATATATGCTATCCCACTATATAGCTCCACTATATAATTTTTTCTTCTTCTTATTAGTGTAATATTATGGAATTAAATGTGTAAAATAAATTTTAGCATCGGATATTTACCAAAAAAATAATAATAGTTCATTTGTTTTTACTGGGTGCTGAAAAAATGACAAACATGGAATTGTCTACCAAGCTCATCCGATATACAAAATGCGTGTCAATAGACATCTATACAACTATCACCACTGAAGGTGTTAAACAAACCTTTAAAACTCGATCAGGTATTATATTATAATATACTATACTACCATACAAAAGGGATTTATTATAGACAAATTAGGGGATCCACAATGTGACTCAATATTTAAGTATGTATGTATATATTTTAAGATGCATTAGAATGAAGAAATCGTTGCTTGTATACTATATATATATATATATATCTGTGTGTAATACAAAAATAATAAATACTTTTGTATTAATAAAAGAATTAAAACTCTTTCGGTTTCATGAAATGTCTTTGTTAAAGAGTAAGCGTAGAGATATTCTATTTTGGGAATTCAAGGCTAAAAACATACCATTGAATAATAATTAGATTTATATTTCAAAGGAGGAGTTATTTTTAGAATCTTGTTCCTCTTTCACTTCCATATTAGGAAGCATTAAATGATTTTCCATAATGCGTAGAGTTACAAAGGTATGTACGACTGGAACCTAATTACACCAATCTCTGTAGTATTTAATGTGGGACCGAAGGTTTTCGCATGTCTCTTGCTGAATAACGTGTTCCAATAAACATCTACCGGAACCATCCGGAGTCTTGCCCACATCCCCTCCCTTGTGGAGTGGAGATGTGAACTGTTATAACCACCAGCATAACTTTTAATAAGCCTTTGATAACTTATTAAGGCTATTGACTGCATTTCTTAAGATGAATACACCAATGATAACAGGGATGTAGCCCTGTTATTATAAGTGGACAGGATAATTCCTTAGCGGTGGAAACTTACACATTTCTATCTCAGAAACTAAGCTTAGCGAAGACCGGCTGTGACTTACTTCAAAAATCCTCATGCCAATCACCCACCGGGAAAAAAGTTGAGTGAAGAAAGGACGGCATCATCTTCAATGCAGTGAGCAAACTTCTATTTAGTGCAAAAGATGATGCTCCAAGTGTAGCACAAAATCTTATATGCTATTTTATGATTTTTTATTTTAATTCTGTTTTTTTTTTTTTTTTTTTTTTTTTTTTTTTTTTTTTTTTTTTTTTTTTTTCTCCATTACAAAGTTCTTAAGTTTATAAAATTATTATTCTATAATGTGTTCTGTAGGAGTCAACAATTTTTCAAAACTCTTCTCTTGCTTTTACAGGTCATTGGTTTGATGATCCTTGTGATAGCCCATTTCTTCTTGTTAAAACAACTGATGATTTTCATAAATTGCTTAGCAAATTGCAGTTTCATGATCTTGAAAAGATTAAAGAAAGTACTGCCATAACAAGCTCTTTTGGGTGGCTTAATGCCGCTGCAACCTATCATGGTATTTTAATTTTCTATGGTATTATTGCAGTGTTGTAAATTAGAAAATGTTTTGGAATATTTTAATGTAAAATATAAATTTAACAATAATAGTTTTACAACCTGTATCAATTTGCTTTTAGTAGCTTAATTAATGTAAAAATTTTAAATTCTTGTGAATATTATTTCCTTGACATTTACTCAATTTTGTTGAACCAATTAAATATACTTTTTGATTATTGTTTTGCTTATTTGGGAAAATTAGCTTTAAACTTTGTTGTAAAAGTTCTTTTGCACAATCTTGATTTGATTTCAAGCTTTGCTGTGGAAACCTTTGTGAACTTATAAAAGTTTTTTTTAAGTTATCTCAAGTTAAAATGTAACAGTGTGGCATCAGTGGTTAACCACTAATAAAAAAGAAAGCATCATTCTTTTAGAAAATGAAAAAAATAAAAATAAAACATTATTTTTATGGCAATATAAAGTATTTTTTAAAATTAACACATAAGCAGTAGGAAGGAGGAAAATGGATACAGACTAGTGAATTTTTTTAGTTTTTACCCAGAAAATTAGAATTTTTTCAGTTTTACTTGAATTGTAGAAGCTATGGGGCTCAAAGATGTGACTACTTTAGTTCGAAAATTTATAGAAATTGTGATTGAAAAGAATTATTTTGGAGGGAATTAATTTATAGAATTTTAAAGTGTTAAACTTATTTAATAATTACAGAATTTCAGCTTGCTGATATTTAAAAATATTCAAATCTATTATGTGTGATAATTTAAGAAAAATAGAAAAGTTTGATATGTTTGGTTTGGTGTGTTCTACTTGATATTTTATTCTCACAATGTTATATAATTAGTTACATTTACTCTCAACTCTGCTAACTGGAAAAACTGTGGAAAAAAAATTTTTGCTGCATGTCAGACCATTTTTAGTAAAATATTTGTAATGGCATCTCTTAATATTTTCTTCTGTCTATGCCATATTCTTAAAACAATATTTTAGTGTTTAATGCCATCTCTTGACAATTTTAAAACTTTATGAGAGTAAAATTTCTGATTTGCAGCTAACCAGTTATTTCTTTATTTAAGTTTTCAAATCAACAGATATTTTGGAGATGTATGGTGTAGTGGCTCAGCGAAGAAGAGGTTTCAACATTCAAAACCAGCTGCTAATCAATCAAAAAAGAGATTTTATTTATTATGAGTTATTATATATAATAAAAAAACAAAATGAATTAAAAACTATGCAAAAGTAAACAAAATACTAGTATTCTAAAAAAATTTCTCAGCTATCATACAGTGCTTATTTTTTCAATCTTGACGTATCAAGTTGTTGCATATTTCATCAATTAGAAACTGCATGGCCATGATTCTCCGATTATCTTAATAGCTTTAGTGATAAAAATAAAAAAAATTGAGGCTGATAAAAATTGAAACAATTGAATCAGTTATGCATATTTTAAAATAAAGCTAAAAGTTCAAATTTTATTGAAAAAATACTAGCTTTGTTCGAAATGATGCTTAGCAAATTTGTAAATATTATGCTCACTTACCCTCTCATCTTTATTTATTAATTTATAAATGTTCAATAATTAAAAAATAGTTTATTATTTAAATTTTTTTTATTTAAATTCTCCTAATTTTGAAAATGTATGATAATTCAAACTATCAATTTCAAAGCCTCACCCTAAAGGATTTTCTGCTTTTGCCACTGCATAGTTAGTTATTACTTAAGGTTTTACAAGCTTTTCAGATGATACAGTTTTTACTGGGGTATTTTACAGGGTGCGTAGCATTTTTAAAAAGTGCTTAAAGGTGTTTATTTTCGTTTTTTAAAAGCCCTTAAAGGTGCTTTTTTCTATTGCATACCTGCCAACTCTTCCGGATTTTCCGGAGGATTTTATTTTCATATTTAAAGTGGTAGCAATACTCAGGTTATTCCAATTAACTTTTTGAATTATAATGATAATTATAAATGAGTTTGACCGCCACTACATATAAATAATTACAATAAATATATAAAAGCATAATAATCCCTGCACAAGCGAATTTCAACGGGATCAAAATATAAATATATTTTTGAGTCAGATTGTTTTTCGTTTATTGTTTTACAACCACTCTGAAAATCCATTCTCGGAAAGAGTGAAAGTTGGCAGGTATGCCATTGGGTGTTTAAAAAAAGTGCTTAATTTTCCCTTTTTCAAAATGAGAGTTTTCCTTTACTATGTTGATTTTTGTTTCGAATTATGCAAAAAGACACGGTTCACATTGTTCTGTTCAACGTTCTCAGAATTAATTCGACCCTAATCTATTTCGGCGTATTGTCAGTTCGTAGCGTATGAAAACGCCATTTGTTTCACATTATTCAAAATTTCATGATTTTTGAGAATTGTCAAAAACAATACCAATAGTTTTTTTTTTTTGACATGACGGTTAGAACAAGATAAAACCGTCGATTGTCAAAATCTTTCCAACCCTGCCTAATTATGATATTTTTTTAAAGTGCTTAGAAAAAATTTTTAGTGCTTAAAAGATGATTATTTTTTGTTGAATAATTTGGCTCCGCTCCATATTTTAATGTTGATTTTTCTTTCCTTTTCATTTAGGTTTCACTCCATATCACGATCTTACTTATCCCTTCGTATGTCACACCATCATTACCAATGGCCAAGATTGGAACTTTTTTGTCTATCAATTGAACACCATCGCATTTCACATCGACGTTGACAAGAAAGATCGAAGAAATATTTGTTGGTCATCCGGAACCATTAGACTTTTTGACACTATTGAAAATGGTGAGATTAAAGGACTAAATGATGAAGTCTTCAAGATTTTGTTGAAGTTTCTTATGAATGCTCCTGTAAGTGATGAAAATATTAAACTGAAACCTTACTTAGGAGAGGACAATCGAACGGAGGAGGAGATTGATAACATGAGATATATCTATAGAAACATGTACAGCCATCGTCCACATCCTAATGCTCATAAACATGAAGTACCAACATGGCATAGGATCTATTTGCCAAAATATAACAAACTTGCTAAACCTTTACCGTTTACTAAATTGTATTAGTTGTAGAACATAGATAAAATATTGATTTTAAAATTTTCATTTTCTATTCTTTTTACTATATATTTTCTTTGATTCAAAAATAATCTCACTCTTTATTTTTAATTTTTATTTTTATTTTTAATTTGGTAGACGGATCATGCGTTAGAGTCCCCTTGCCGTAAGGCTAACCTTAGAAGGTTTTTGCGTTTTTCCTCTCCATGTAACACAAATGCAGATTAGTTCCATCAAAAAGTCATCCACAAATTCAAAATTTCTCCCAATACTTGATCCAGGAATTCCCTTGTCTTCTGGATTGGGTTCAAGACTACAAGGTTATGGAGTTGAACATGGGTAGCCGCAAACACAAAATTGGGTCGGCTGTTCAAACGACGGTTCGAAAATAACATTTATTAAATAAATTTTCCACTTCCAACTTATTAAGCAATAATTTTTTAAGATAGAATAAATTTAAATGAATGTTTGTAATAAATAGTAAAAATAATATTAAAATTAATGCTGTGGATTTGTAAATTTCTATACCGAAAATATAAATTACATGATCATAGTAAAAAAATTATACAATATTAAGAAATAATTACACTGTACTTCAAATTTGAGCATTTTTCTGCTGTTTAAATAAAATTGGGATTCTATGTTAACAGAAGGTGCTTAATTCACATATCAAAAATCTAAATGGTCGGTAATGTATATAACGTATCAGTTTTTTTTTTTTTTTTGTGAAAGGTTAAGCTTCTAGTGAATTTTCAGATATCCTTCCCTTATGCATTTAGAACAGTGGTTACCAACTGGCGGCACCAGTACCCGAGAAGCATTTAGAACTCAAATATATTAGTTGTCACTTTTTGTGGACAATTTTCGTACAAAATCTGTATGGGCTTAAAATACTTTTCTTTCGTTAAAAAAAAAAAAAAAAAAAAATTTCTTTGTTTCTGTGAAATTTAACATACCAACAGTGCAAAAAATTTATTTCTCAGGTAAAAATCAACTTCTTATTTTAATTTTTAAATCAATACTTTTGTTTTGTACAACTTGATAAAAGTCTGATAGTCATATTTAATGTTGCTTCAAACATTAAAGAGTCCTATCTAAAATTTTGATAAAGTTGCGGCCCGCCATTTGACTGGTGTTTTTAATTGCGGCCCCTGGCCTCATGTAAGTTGGAAACACCTGATCTATCAAGTTGACAACTGTCTCACTGCCAATGAGAGCAACATTTCTTTGCATGTAAGTGGATATTGATTGCAGTTGAAAAACGTGAAAAAGCTGCTTTGTGGATTTTTGTAAAAATGGCTCAAGGTAAAAAAAAAAGAACATTTGTTTACATAACTTTAACATTAAAAATTACAGATTTTCAGCTAAGGAAACAAACATATATTTTTTTCACTAAAGGGCATTTTTCATATTGCACCATGTTAAACCTTTATACAGTAAAATAACTAGCACTGGTCTCTATTAGGTAAGTTACAACCTATTTTTTACGCCTAATTTGACCTTAGAAACAGATTTGGAGGATTTTAAACAAAGCAATGCAACAAATAACCATACATGGCAGTACTTTTACTTTCGTTACTTGTACCGCCGGTACAAGTAAAAAGTACGTACTTTTACTTGTACTTCGTTACTTTTTAAATTTAGTACTTTTACTTGTACTTTCGTTACTTTTTTAGGGAAAAAGTAAAAGTATTTGTAACGGAAATATCGAATGAAATCGTTACTTTTTTCTAAAACTCGGTAAGTTTTCTTAAAAAAGAAAAAAATAAATAAATAAATAAATAAAAAAAGCTGTGAATGCAATATATATGCATTCACAGCTAACTTCGTTTTTAAATACCTTCTGTTTCAACTTATACACACATTCAATTATTTTTTACTAGCTCAAAGATCACAAAGCTATCTGAAACCCCGTGTTTGCTTTGTTTATGTTTGTGTTTTTAAAACGCGTTTCTAAAGAGTAAAACAATTTTAAATCACTGGTAATTTAATTAAACAAAAATAATAAACTAAAAATTAAAGTCAATAGATAAAGTTTCTTTTTCGTGCAAATCCATAAAAAGTTTGATATTAAAATTATATTTGATTTTAAAATTATATTATACGATAATATTATAGAACTATATTATCCTCCGAATTTAAAAATAAATTAATATCCATAACTTTCAAAATTAAAAATAATTAAATAAATAACAACAATTTTGCGAAAACTTTAAAGAACATAAGAATATTATTCAATAAAATTTTAAGTTACTTTGAATTTTCGATTTCCTAAAAATGTACTTTTAAATCGTTACTTTTTTTGTTTAGTACTTGTACTTTTACTTGTACTTTTTACTCGTTACTTTTTAAACTAAGAACTTTTTACTTTTTACTCGTTACTTTTTTAAAAATACTTGTACTTTTACTCGTTACTTTTTAAAAGTAACGTTGCCATATATGCAAATAACGCACAGCAATTTTTTAAAAGTAGTATATAAATTTAAGCATAAACGTGGTATACAAAAAAAGAAAAAGTCTCTTCTTTGAGAAATCAATACATTACCAATTTTACATGAAAAATTGGCGTGGTACCATTAAAAAAATTAGTTCTGCTGCTAAACATTGGAGTCATAGACTTTCCACACTGGCAATTAAGTTTTCAGTCACAGAAATAAGGAGAGAAGACCAGGCACAGAGTCACCTTAGGAACATTTCAAAACAGTAAATTCTCCTCTAAGGTAGTATTAAACATTCGGGTTCAGGTCTGGAGATCTGGTTGGTTAATCCATCCTCTAATCCTATTTTACTACATTTTTTATTGAATTGAAATTCCGACCCATTCCCGAAGCAAAAGCACTCGAATCTCAACTACAGTTTCGTGTCTGATGGAAATACGAATTTCAACCATTTTATGACTGCTAAAAGCTGAATTTATAGTCATTTTTATTGCCAAATAGAATTTTCATAAATAAAAATTACAAAACATATCTTATTAACTAGAGAGCTTAAATCTCATCTGGAGCTCTGTGCTTAGTGTGTTTAAAGACAATACAAGTTTTAACCGTTTTTTAACTGCTATAAACAGGATTTCTCATCATACGGAATTTATCGTTAGTTAAAATTCTGTCTATTTTCAGGGTTCCCACGGTCCTTGAAAGTCCTTGAATTTTTTTTTGCTAAATTTAGGTCCTTGAAAGTGCTTGAAAAACGTGATAGGTCCTTGAATTTGTCCAATACTGCCGGCGGCCCTTTTTATAAAGCACCCGCAGATCTTTCTCGTTCCTTCTGTTTTGTTCCCGAGCTCTCTCACGTGGTTTTTAACGCCACCGTTTCTAACCGGGCCTAGCGTCTTGGTGTTTGCCAAGCGCGCGGAGCACAGCAGACAATCAATGCGTTCGGGGCGGGATTCCACTTCATCTTCTGTTGCATATGCTTAGATCTTTTTTCTTATCGAAACTGGAATACTCTCGAATTTCGTAACAATATGTACCTTGTAGTTTTCAATAAATTTGCCGTTTTACCATCCGCACTTGTCCTTACGTTTGCGTCATTTCAAAACTTTATTGTAAAGCGTATTCGCAAAGGCACG